CCTCCTCAGCCCCCCCAGCCCCGCTCTCTACAGGCCCCGCCCCTGGAGCCTCCGAGACCGGGTCCCCTTCCCACCTCGCGAGCTGTTGCGCACTGAACCCCCACACCAATAGCGCACACCCGCCAGCGCCAGCTCCTGGGTCTTTGTCCCAAATTCGGGGCCCTCCCCCGACGTCCACAGTGCACCGTAAGCAGACCCGACGCGCCCGACGCGTCCTCAGGCTGATCCAGCAGCAGGACACTCGCGCTCGGAGGGAAAGTCCCAGGAGTGTGCTGTGTAGGGCCTTGGCCCCGCCCAGGGCACTCTCCAGCGCGGGGTCCTAACCGGTACCCTCCCCGCAACAACCAGCACCGCACCCACAGTGCGCCATCCCTGCAGGCCACCAGGCACACCCGCGGCTCGGCCTCTTCGACGCAGGTCCGAAGGCAGCCCTTTTCCGCCAAGTCCCACTCCACTTTCCCCCACCCCCGGCCCCCGCCACGTGTCCGGTTTCTGCGGACACCGGCTCAACACCCGCGTCCTTGGCCTCCAAACACATTCACACGTCCACTCGGTGCACCCCTCGCGTGCCCATACACAGGACCCCCACCATCAACGCCGCACACATCATCCACGTACACCACTCTTCAGGGTGCGCGCACACTCCGTGGCCGCGGGCCTCCGGCTTTGCGCTCCGCAAACACTCTGGGCACAGCCAGGACACCCGCTCACTAGCGGGCGCAGGGCAGACTGGCAGGAAGGGTCCAGGCAGCCTCACACCTCGCTTGCAAAGCCCACCTTGGCTCCTAATCCCCCGCACCGCACCGTCAGAGACGGCCATCGCTCCGACTGGGCCTGGGAAGTTGCTTTCCACGTGCTGCTCCCACGGGACAGGTTTCCTAGGTGACCTGCAGGGCAGATTCCTCAGGTCTCCCCTAAAAACACCCTAGAACTTGAGGACCCCACAACTCCAATTTCTCAGGTGGACCTCACCCCATCCCATCCAGGACTTACAGGACAGGACAGGGAGATGGCCCCTGCTCCCCACCTCCCTGCGGGTGGGGTGAGGGGGAGGGAGGCAGGAGGGTGGCAGGATAACACTACACTCTGGGGAAACTTGTCTGCCCTGATCTTTGGGGACAATGGACCTTTCCTCATCCCTTCTGAGCCGGTTTTCTGCTGGTCAGGCCACGGACGCATCCCCATGAATATCTTTTACTATTAGGTAATAATGAAAGGAAAGGGTAGTTGTATTTGCTGAGGTCCTCTATGTCTAGAACAGTGCCTGGCACACAGTGGAGGATCTTTACAAATTTGCTGGCGACCCTCCTCATGGTTCCTGCTGGCCTGCGGGATTGGAAAGCCTGCAGGCACTTCCACCTGGTGGTACGAGATCCTTCTCTTTTCTTTTTATTTATTGACTAGAGGCCCAACGCATGAAATTCGTGCCAGAGTAGGCCTTCCTTCCCCCAGCTGCTGCCATCAGCTTCCCTTTGGCACCTGGGACCCAGGCTTCCCTCTCAACCCTGGCTTTGTCCGGAAGGTTGTCCGGAAGGACGTCTGGAAGGACATCTGGTCTAATTAGCATATTATGCTTTTATTATTATAGATAAGAGAGAGAGAGAGAGAGAGAGAGAGATTTGCTGCCCACTGGTTGCTTCTTGCATGTGCCCTGACCTGATGGACTGCTCCAACCACCTGACCGAGACCCTTTTCTTCCCCAGGGTAATCAAGGGCAAGTTCACCTTCTAAGCTGCAATCCCGCACGTGCAAATGGGAGATGGTTTTAGGAGAACATGCCTGTAGGGCTGTTGTGAAGATGAAACATAATACAGGTGAAGTGCTTCGCATAGAGTCTGGCGTGTGAAAAGCCTTCGGTGAGTTGATGAACATTACACTTATGGTTATGTTCCCTTTGCTGGCCTATTTCACAGAGGGGCTTTGTGATGACCAGTTTAGCTTTGGGGGATGATACTTTGGGAAGCAAAGAGTGAAAAGAGAGGAGGACATTGAGTGGCAGGTGCAATCCCTCCCAAGTTCACTGACCCATGGATCATCATCATCATCGTCACTTATGCAATGTTTGCTGTGTCGCACAGCTTAACATTTTCTCTTCGTTAAACTATCTAATACTCCCAGCACTGCTCCAGGCCACATACTTTATTCACCCCATGTTGCAGATGGAGACACTGAGGCCAAGAGGGATTAATTACTGGCTCACAACCATACAGTTGGCAGAGCTAGGACCCAACCGAAGCTGTGTCTCTCAGCTACTGGCTAAACTAGTGTCAAGGTCAGACATAGTCATAGATGAGCCTCACGTCCCTGGAGGTTCGTTCAGTCTCCAGCCTTGGAAAGAACAGCCTCAGAGGTGCCTGGAGCTAGGTCAGGCTCTCAAACGCTCATCCGCCTCAGGGGAATGAAAGGCAGAGGTTCCCTGGTTATTTCCTCACCAAAAAATGGAGTGGGCGCTGCCCATGGCTCCCCACTGACACATGGATTTAGGTGTTAGTCTGACTCTGTTGAGTCTGTCTCCCCAGCTAACCTGCAGCTCAGCGCTGTCCCTTAGAACTGCCCGCAGTGAGGGAGGCGCTCCATGTCTGCGCTGTCCGTTTTGGCAGACCCTGGCTGCACGTCACCATTGAGCACTTTATTATTCTTTTTAATTTTTAATACATTTTTATTGATTTCAGAGAGGAAGGGAGAGAGAGATAGAAACATCAGTGATGACAGAGAATCATTAATAGGCTGCCTCCTGCATGCCCCACACTGGGGATCAAGCCATAATCTGGGCATGTGCCCTGACCGGGAATTGAAATGTGACCTCCTGGTTCATAGGTCACGCTCAACCACTGAGCCACACCGGCCGGGCTTGAGCAATTTATATGTGACTAGCAAGACTGCAGAACTGAACTTTCAGTTTTGTTTACTTTTAATTAATTTGCATTTAAATAGCCTCATGTGGTGAGTGGCCACTGTGAGGAGAGCCATGTCTGCTGGCCATCCTTGTACCCATGACTGGCACAGGCCGGCTCAGCAGATGTTTGTTGACTAAATTAATAATTAAATGACAGCTTTGCTTTCCTCTTTAAAGTCTGTCTATTTAGTATCCAAACCCCCAAAAAGAATCCTATTTTCTTTGCTAAGTAGGTCGTCTCCAAAATGAACGTGCCACTTGGGATTCCAGAGTTGCCAAAGTCCATTTTCATGGATCGTCTTGTTTTAACCACAAACCTTTGCAGGTGGGAGCCCATCTCTGGCCCTGACAAGCTGCGCTGTGAGCTCATGACTTCTCCGAGGCCTCCCAGCTGGTTAACAGCAGAGGCTGGGCGCAAGCCTCACAGGGAACATTTCTGGAAGCATCAGCTTAATTCACGGAAGAGTGGATGGAATGGTAGGGATTCAGGCACGGATAGACAGGGTGATATTTCCTGTTCCCTCCAATTGCCTGAGGCAGGTGGCTGCCTGACTATCGATCCACCCTGATGGTGTCACTGACACTTTCCTTGGGTACGTGCTCAATCCCAGCAGGGCAGATGGGCGGAGGTGGGTCCTGGGCTCAGCGGGCCCAGGCCAGGGGCAGGGTGCTTCGCTGGAGCGTGAGATGGGGTAGCACAGGCCTTGGGGAGGCCTCCTGGCTAATGCAGCCCTGGCCGCCCTTGCTTGGCAAGGCTGAGAGGGGCTTGGGCTCCCCAGCCCTGACTTTCGCTCTGCAGAGAAAATGGGGGACACTTCAGGACAGTGGCATCTCTGGACACATCCTTGGGGTGAGCGCCAGGAGTAAGCACATGTAGGACACAGGATTGCTTTCCAGGGCTCTCAGCAGGTGCCTGACAGGTGTCCACAGACTAGCATGTCAGCTGCAACCACCAGGTGGCAGCCGCCTGCTCTCCTTCCCTCTACCTGCCCCTGCAGGTCCTGGTCTGTGTCCTGGAACTGTGCGCAGTGGCCTCGTCGTGCCCCTGTGGTCTCCTGTGATGCCCCCAAAGCCAGCCGTCAGTTAGGAAACATCCAGGTAACAGGATCAAAATGGTCTAAACAGTAGGGAGCTGTGTTAGCACATGAGGGGACCAACGTTTTCCCGCCCCAAAATAAGCCTTTGGGATATTGATTTCAAGCTGGGAACTAAGGAATAAGAAGACTCAGGAAAAGCCTCTGGTCCCTTACCTGCCTGAAGGAGCTTCGCTAGAGGACCTGTGGGCGTTAAGCTACAGGTTAACAGGAGCCAGTGGGCAGGAGGAGCCTCGCCAGGCCGCGTGCTCCGTCCTCCCCGCGGGCACAGCTAGAGACCCTCAGGAGCCTGCCTGCGCCAC